GACCTGGAGTTCCGTTTCAATACTATTCCCATTGGAAATGAAGCATCGAAAAGTCAATATGTTTGCGCATACCTGGTAGCTGTTGCAAATCTTTTGAAATTTAAAGTCCGTCCAGAGAAGAATGTCTCTGGTCCAAATGGCCATGGTCCCGTTGATTTTGCTTTTGTTTCAATCCAGACTTCTAAAGTAGTTGGTATCACTGAAGTCAAGGATAAAGATTTTTTGCAAGGTGTTGCTCAGAATGCAGTACAGTGTGAATCAGCTTTATCAAATAACAATAAAAGGATTTTTGGAATCATAACTGATTCCGAGAAGTGGTTTTTCTTGGAATGTTCATTAGACAATGAAGGAAAACCGAAGTTTAAACTATCAAAACCAATGGTCGTTGTATATGGAGATGAAGATATGGAAGACAGAGTAAAGAAAGTTCTTGGTCATATTGCGTGGTTACTGGAGGAAGCTCAAGGACTGGATGAGCCGAAGGATGAGAACCCCAAAGATTAGAATTTGTGAATTTTTGTTTCTTTTCGCACAGGATTTCGAGGATCGCGCGGAGAACCCAAGGTAATTTTTATTAAGGTTAAAATTAATTTATGCATGTGTATAACTAACAACCATTTAATTTTATACAGAATTATTGATAATTGAAACAAATAATGCCGGATCACGGGTTAATGTTGACAGTACAAATCCGTATGTCACGACTACGAGCCATGCCTATTGATTTCCAATTAAATTACCAGAGTAATAGTCTATTGAATTTACTGTCAACTTTATTGATATGTTAATTTTATCTCTTATATAATTTATTTTGCTTTAACTTATACAGTCTGCCTTTTGTATTGCAGGATTTTTTTCGTGAAATATGATAAAGAAAAAAATCTAAAGCAATCATCCAGAACCTTTGTAAGAGCTACCTTTTGAGTTTCCGTTCAGCCCTATATTTTTCAACGCCATGGAAAACTTGGCGTTTCTTTTCAATGCGATATGCTTCAGCTTCGCTATATTTTTCTTATTCCATAGTAATTATATTTTTTAATAACAATTATCCTTGAGGTATGATTATGCAAAGAGATTATAAAGGTTGTAATATTTTGAGTAGACAAGAATAATTTTTGATAGTGAACAAACAAGATTTTCTGGAAAAAATATTCTGTATCTTTACAGGAATCGAGTTCACGATAATGAACAGGTACGAAATTACTTTTAAAAATTAATTCGTAGACTTTTAACAAATTTTCTAACGAAAAATATCCCTTTTATTCCCAGGTAATACTGATAGCTATAAACAAGTTTTTCAGAGACATCAGTGATTTTCACTGAAGCTTATTCGAGACTCAATGTTAAATGGGTGTTATCGCGCTTGAATTTTTTTACAGGTAGAGAATCTGGGTTTTTATAATTCGAAATTGATTTGATATTATAGTATTATTCATAATTCCTATTTCTTATGATTTTATATATTAAGTTGACTTAATGAAGAATTTCTGAGCTTCATGAGCATTCTCTGAATGAATGCTAAGTGTAGTAAAAAATGTGGAAAATTTTTGGAATGTGGCCATGCATGTTTAAATGAATGTTTTGAGTGTCAAAACTTTCAGCGCCACAAGATAAACCTGAAGACGAAGAGCAAACAAAAGAAATCATCCCTATTGAAAGGACAATATAGGCAGTTATAAGCAGAATATCTTAATGATGCGATTCGATATATTTTATCATTGCCATTAACACGAAAAAACCCAGAATACTAATTCACCACCGACTTTTGTTATGATAATCGGCATTCAATGATGATGGTGTAGCTACTAGGATTTTGTTAGAATGCCAAATTACCTACCTGGATCTATTAAATACCATTTTAACACTGGCAACACCACATGTTTTACACCTTTTCAACTTTATTGGTAATTGGTAATTTATACTGACATTAATGAGTTTTGGAGAAAATTTTTATTCTCAAAGTGCAACTTCTGGGAATTCTTTGCTTTATATCTATTGCTGGTAGAAATTTTGAATATTATTGTATGTTTAGATTCTGTTAAATAATTTCGCTTGCGTCTGCATCTTATAGTTTTCTGTTTTTAATAGAAAATAACAGCATTTCAAAAATTTTTATTTGATTGGTCTAGTTGATTTAAAATAAAAATAAAAGCTTTAATTTAATAATTAATAAACCGGATACTTTAATGATTGATCTTATGTAACATGATAAACAATTTTTAAACAATTTTTCATGCATATTATTAAAAAAAACTTCCTTATAAATTACATTTCTTGTCTAACAGTTTTAAGAGTTCTTATAACTATTATTTATAAGAATTTTGATGTTTTGATATGAAGTAATTTGTGATAATGTAACATACAGTTGATTATAAGAAAAATCTGATCTTATGATTTGTTAATTGTTATAAAAAGGCTAGGATTGAAAAATTAGTATAGTTGGTACAGTTTAGTATAGTTAAGTGCTATAAATTTAGTATAGTATAGTATAAGTACAGTGGTATATTACTTAAAACAGATTATAGTATCACTATATAATCTGATTATTACTCTATAATTGAATTACCACTTTATATTCTAATTACCACTATATAATCTGATTATCATACTATAATTTAATATCTATAATTTAATTATCACTATATAATCTAATAAATATAGTCTGAATACAATCTTATAACTTACCTTTCTTTTTTATTGATTATCTTTTTTATGTTCTGGTTATTTTTTTAAACCTTTCCTATTATTTATAAATAAATTGGTATCTAGTTATAAATATTACCTTATAATTAAATTATCATCTACTATTTAATCTAACTACTAATTTTCTTCTTATTTTTAAATTTATTTAAGCATTAAGTTCTTTGGTAAGATATTGATCTTTTATGTCAGATTAATTGTTTAATAAGATATTAAGATATGATATGTAGGTTGTTCTTTTTTGCTAGCTTAATTGATAGATAAAGTATTAAATATATGGTATAAGAGTTACCTTTCTACACTGGTTTGATTGCTTGATAAAATAAGAGTATGATATAGATTGCCTTTTACGTTTTGATTATCTTTTAAAATACTAAAAAAATCATATTAAGTGACATCAGTTTGCAAAACTATTTATGAGCTAGTTTTAATACCAAAGTTATCAATAAGAGTTTAATTTACAATTCAGTATTATGCTGTTTTAATAAATAATTTTTAGATTTTATTATTGCTATATATATCTTAGAAGAATTATTTTTTATATATTTTTAATAATAAAATATATTGATTTAAAATTTGCATTATCAAATTACTCTTTAATCTAAATCCTTAATAATGTCTTTAGTGATACTAATTTATACTTTTTTAAAATTTTAAGACATTTGATTGTATTCCTTTATATCTGTTACTTTATCATTAAGTGTTACTAAAAAAAAATAAAATTCTAAAAAAAAATTGAAATTTTTCTATAGATAATCCTATGATATATATAAAGTAAATATATAAGATAATATACCATTTACTATAAATAAAAAAAAATAAAAAAGTAAAGAACTTCAATTTTTCTTATTGATCCTTAGTACTATAACCCTATAAAAAAATTTGCATACGTTTTTCATTATTATAAATAAATTTTATATACATTTTTTAAAATTCTATATCACATTTCCTTATATTTTATAAGGAATTTTTTTAGCATTCTTTTTTATAAAAAATGATGTATAAGGAATTAGGGTAGTGACATATATTACCTAATATCATTTAATTATAAGCATCCACCCCTCACCCCCAGGTAAGATATTCTGATCACGTGCATAAAAATTATTTCCTTTTATAGAATTCATATATCAGTT